ATGCCAATCATCATCATCATCATCATCATCTCAAACAACAACATGGTCAAAACAACATGCCAATCATCATCATCATCATCATCATCATCATCATCTCAAACAACATGGTCAAAACAACATGCCAAGCATCAACATCAACATCATCATCATCATCATCTCAAACAACATGGTCAAAACAACATGCCAAGCATCAACATCAACATCATCATCATCATCTCAAACAACATGGTCAAAACAACATGCTAAGCATCAATCATCAACATCATCATCATCATCTCAAACAACATGGTTCAAAACAACATGCAAAGCATCAACATCATCATCATCATCATCATCATCATCTGAAACAACATGGTCAAAACAACATGCCAAGCATCAACATCAACATCATCATCATCATCTCAAACAACATGGTCAAAACAATATGCCAATTATCATCATCATCATCAATCATCATCATCATCTCAAACAATAATATGGTCAAAACAATATGCCAATCATCATCATCATCATCATCATCATCATCATCTCCTAAACAATATGGTCAAAACAACATGCCAAGTATCAATCAATCATCATCATCATCATCATCATCTTCAAACAACATGGTTAAACAACATGCCAAGCATCAACATCAACATCATCATCATCATCTCAAACAACATGGTCAAAACAACATGCCAAGCATCATCATCAACATCATCATCATCATCATCTCAAACAACATGGTCAAAACAATATGCCAATCATCATCATCATCATCATCATCTCAAACAACATGGTCAAACAACATGCAATCATCATCATCATCATCATCATCATCATCTCAAACAACAACATCAAAACAACATGCCAAGCATCAACATCAACATCATCATCATCATCTCAAACAACATGGTCAAAACAACATGCTAATCATCATCATCATCATCATCTCAAACAACATGGTCAAAACAACATGCCAATCATCATCATCATCATCATCTCAAACAACAACATGGTCAAAACAACATGCCAATCATCATCATCATCATCATCATCTCAAACAACATGGTCAAAACAACATGCCAATCATCATCATCATCATCATCATCTCAAACAACATGGTCAAAACAACATGCCAAGCATCAACATCAACATCATCATCATCATCATCTCAAACAACATGGTCAAAACAACATGCCAAGCATCAACATCAACATCATCATCATCATCTCAAACAACATGGTCAAAACAACATGCCAATCATCATCATCATCATCATCATCTCAAACAACAACATGGTCAAAACAACATGCCAATCATCATCATCATCATCATCATCATCATCATCTCAAACAACATGGTCAAAACAACATGCCAAGCATCAACATCAACATCATCATCATCATCTCAAACAACATGGTCAAAACAACATGCCAATCATCATCATCATCATCATCATCATCTCAAACAACATGGTCAAAACAACATGCCAATCATCATCATCATCATCTCAAACAACAACATGGTCAAAACAACATGCCAATCATCATCATCATCATCATCATCTCAAACAACATGGTCAAAACAACATGCCAAGCATCAACATCAACATCATCATCATCATCTCAAACAACATGGTCAAAACAACATGCCAATCATCATCATCATCATCATCATCTCAAACAACAACATGGTCAAAACAACATGCCAATCATCATCATCATCATCATCATCATCATCATCTCAAACAACATGGTCAAAACAACATGCCAAGCATCAACATCAACATCATCATCATCATCTCAAACAACATGGTCAAAACAACATGCCAATCATCATCATCATCATCATCATCATCAAAAACATCATGGTCAAACAACATGGCCAAGCATCAACATCAATCATCATCATCTCAAACAACAGCATGGTCAAAACAACATGCCAATCATCAACATCATCATCATCATCTCAAACAACAACATGGTCAAAACAACATGCCAAGCATCATCATCATCATCATCATCATCATCATCTCAAAAACAACATGGTCAAAACAACATGCCAAGCATCAATCATCATCATCATCATCATCTCAAACAACAACATGGTCAAAACAACATGCCAAGCATCAACATCATCATCATCATCATCATCTCAAACAACATGGTCAAAACAACATGCCAAGCATCATCATCATCATCATCATCATCATCTCAAACAACATGGTCAAAACAACATGCCAATCATCATCATCATCATCATCATCTCAAACAACATGGTCAAAACAACATGCCAAGCATCAACATCAACATCATCATCATCATCTCAAACAACATGGTCAAAACAACATGCCAAGCATCAACATCATCATCATCATCTCAAACAACATGGTCAAAACAACATGCCAAGCATCAACATCAACATCATCATCATCATCTCAAACAACATGGTCAAAACAACATGCCAAGCATCAACATCAACATCATCATCATCATCTCAAACAACATGGTCAAAACAACATGCCAATCATCATCATCATCATCATCATCATCTCAAACAACATGGTCAAAACAACATGCCAAGCATCAGCATCAACATCATCATCATCATCATCATCATCAATCAAAACAACATGCCAATCATCATCAAAACAACATCTCAAACAACATGCCAAACAACAACATCAAGCATCATCATCATCATCATCTCTCAAACAACATGGTCAAAACAACATGCCAATCATCAACATCATCATCATCATCTCAAACAACATGGTCAAAACAACATGCCAAGCATCAACATCAACATCATCATCATCATCTCAAACAACATGGTCAAAACAACATGCCAAGCATCAACATCATCATCATCATCATCATCTCAAACAACATGGTCAAAACAACATGCCAATCATCATCATCATCATCATCATCTCAAACAACATGGTCAAAACAACATGCCAATCATCATCATCATCATCATCATCATCTCAAACAACAACATGGTCAAAACAACATGCCAAGCATCAACATCAACATCATCATCATCATCTCAAACAACATGGTCAAAACAACATGCCAATCATCATCATCATCATCATCATCTCAAACAACAACATGGTCAAAACAACATGCCAAGCATCAACATCAACATCATCATCATCATCATCATTATCATCATCTTCATCATCATCATCTCAAACAACAACATGGTCAAAACAACGTACAAAAATGCCATCTCGAAGAAGATCATCACAAATATTATTATCACAAACTGTTTCTTGACAGACATCACATCACAAACATCATAATTACAAACGATATAACAAACAACGTTGTCAAAAACATTACAAAAATATTTATCAAAAACAACATCATCAACACAAACAACAAGAAATTACAACAGAACATCATCTAAGAAAGTCTCCATTCCATTATTCCATCACCATAAATACCTCCACTGTCACAAATAATATCTATGCAAATCACCACTCTTCCAAACTGTTGGCGACTGTCTCTGTGGTGTAGTGGTTAGAGCGTCTGCCCGGAGAGCGGAAGGTCGCGGGTTTCGATTCCCGACCGCGTCATACCAAAAGACGTTAAAATATGGTACTTGTTGGTCCCTGCCTGGCGTTCGGCATTAATGGGTGCAACAAGGACTGGTCGGCTCAGAGTCAGTATAATGTGTCTGAGTGGGGTATTCATGCTTCACTGCGGCATGGTATCTCAGTGGGTTAGCACTATAAAACCAGCTTAAGTCTGGGCTAGTACAAGCAGCCGCACCCGGACACACACATACACACGCATGCATGTCGTCATATGAGCGAAATATTCTCCAGCGTAACGTTAAACCCAATTTCACCTCACCTCACCAAACTGTTGGCTATCGGTCGTACTGAGTTTCCTTGACACGAATAGGTTTTGTTCATGCATGCATCCTGAATTCAGTGTATGAAATACCGACTGAACGAGACAGGCTAGAATTCTGACGGACAGTCTAAATTTACAGCTAGTCAGCCCGATGGTCTGGTAAAAATCTTAGATAACATGTTCCGTACATCTGAGTAAAGTCATCATATCTTAAATCTGTGTTTCAAATTAATGTTACTTCTAGTCTTGACAATTACTCTGAAAATGACTGTTGTGAATAGACTGTTAGACAGTAAATACATGTCTCAGGTTCATTATCCCCCGGGGGATATAGTATTGGGCTCCGTCCGTACGCCCATACGTACGTCCGTCCATCTGTAACGTACGAATTGGAATATCTTAAGATCCGTTGACTAGATTCTTTTCATATTTGGTACCTAGGTTCATCACAGTATAAGAAAGGTCCCAGTCAGGTTTGGTGACCTTGACCTTCATTTCAAGGTCACAAGGGGACTTTAATGTTTTACTCTTGTCAGTGAGATATCTCAAGAAGATAACGGTGTGAGAACCTACATTGGAGTGAGTGAGTTTAGTTTTACGCCGCTTTTAGCAATATTCCAGCAATATCACGGCGGGGGACACCAGAAATGGACTTAACACATTGTGCCCATGTGGGGAATCGAACCCGGGTTTTCGACGTGACGAGCGAACGCTTTAACCACTAGGCTACCCCACCGCCCCACCTACATTGGAACGTCGCTCTCACAGCAATAAAGAAGTTGTTCATCCATATATTGTTATCCTTCCTTACTGCTCCAACTTATAAATGCCTCTCAAAGAAACTAAAGAGCAAGATATCAAGAGAGGTTGACTGGTCATGTTTTTGTTTACATTTAACTTCATCTTAAACTTTCATTACTTTTTAAGTTTGATTTGATAGTTTGTGGCGGGGGATTATGTCACCTTAGTAACAATGTTTGTTAAATTATTCATGAAGACTGAAAACTGAGTTATTTTCTTCAGATTTTCTGGTCTGGTTAAATCTTTCAGGCTGGTAACATTTTGAAGTTACATGTCCTGATGTAAGGCTGGGTTTTCAGCTTATTTCATTCACTACTGAATTTGAATACTTTTTCTTATTTTCAGAGAGAAAAAGTTCCACCCAAAACAGCGCCGGAACAAGCACATGTTGCTAAGGAAACAGAAGATACAAGTAACCCTGATCCACACATTGCAAGCATTGTTGGGGGACGTGTCTACAGTGATGGGTGTAATACTCAGGTAGGTCTCCAAGCAACCATTGTTGGGGGACGTGTCAACAGTGATGGGTGTAATACTCAGGTAGGTCTCCTAGCAACCATTGTTGGGGAACGTGTCTACAGTGATGTGTGTAATACTAAGGTAGGTCTCCTGGCAACCATTGTTGGAGGGACGTGTCTACAGTGATGTGTGTAATACTCAGTTAGGTCTCCTAGCAACCATTGTTGGGGGGGATGTTTCTACAGTGATGTGTGTAATACTCAGTTAGGTCTCCTAGCAACCATTGTTGGGGGGGATGTTTCTACAGTGATGAGTGTAATACTCAGGTGCATCTCCCAGCAACCTGTTAGAGGTTGTGTCTCCTAGCAACTAAGCTTTTGGGACATGTGGTCTGCTGCAGTAGGAATTCCCACTATTTTCACATGTCTGTTTGCCTGGTATGAAAGGGATTGCAATACAACTGGCCTCATGTTGTTGGGTAAATGAATACATTACCCCATCTTCTGATATCCTGCTAATATTTGGAGACAGTATAGTTGAAAGGACATGAAAGATGAAGGTGTAATTTTACTGACATACTGTTGTAACCACTTTCATTACCAGGCTGAAGAGCTTCTGGCATTGCTGGCACCGCGAGACGGAAGCTACTCCGCTGGAAGCGACAGCCGCTCTACATCAACTGATGGCACAAAGGAGATGTCAGACACTACAGCGACCACTGATGACATCACGACACAGCTGACACACGACACAGCGTGTTAACCTTTGACCTTGACCCAGCTCTTTGCTACCTCACTGTACAGAGATGACAGAACCGCAGTGGCAAATGTTGCCATCCCTTATCCGGCAGCCGGTTAATTGTCGTCAGTTATTCACTCATACCACTCCTAGGTATTATCTAAGGAACTATTGCCATGGTAACAAGTGAAGACACTGACGTTTCCGTGTCGGTGCCTCAATGTTGTTTAACATTAATATGGCTGAAGATCTACCTTCCAAGGGATGTAACTCCTATATGACTAGATACTTTGTATCAAAGGTGTTTACACTTGTTGGTATTAAGCTGTCTTCTCAAATAGGAGATTTCTTTTGCAAACCGATCAGTCAAACAAGGGAAGTAACTGGTGTTAAATACAAGGGAAGTAACTCTTGTTGAGACTTTGGGATGTGTGTCATCTGTCGGAGTTCTACCATATCAACAGCTAAATTATTCATGTACCAGAAAAGGAATATTAGCCTGAATATATTTTGAAGCAAAAGTATCCTTTCCTGTTTAACTGGTGTTTGAAACTACAGATGATATTAAGTAAGACTAGTCGAGAAGATGCTTCAACAACATTGAGAGACCGATGTGTATAGTTCTTACCTCACTTCAAGTTTTCTTTATAATCAGGAATCGTAACTGTGTCTTGGGCATGAACACTACATCCCGACCATTGGCGGAATCTACCTCGAGCGAGACTCCCACACTGACTTACGCGGTCTGACTCACGCGGTCTGACTCACGCGGTCTGACTCATGTCAGACTACAGAAACTGGACAGGCAACAAAATAGACAGACCCAAAGTGGCTGGACACGTGGAATTCTGATGGAATACTGTGAGATTTACATTGGGATAGTGAACCCTCAGGGTTCTGGTGAGCTATGTTCTGAATCAGAATTCTGTGGTTTCTGTTGGGATGCGATTGGAATTCTGCTTCGGATTCTGCTGAGATTCCGATGAAGTCTGAAGTGATTCATACGGAGTAATTGAACACTGTGGGTAGATATGGTGAGCTGTAAGAGAGTGTTGGCACGAGGGATGTGCTCACTGATGGAGATTGGACCATGAAAATCTACAGTGTTGGGGCAGGAGTGGGATCAGTGATCAGTGGCTGTATTCAATGGAGGCTACAGCGCAAGGACAGTGAGTCATTCCCAGTCAAGTCACGACTGCATCCTGTTGCATCTGTCACCACACACCCTGTGAAGAGCTGTCATCACAAACCCTGTGAGGAGCTGTTGCTGCTATCGGCCAATCAGAGAGTATGTTCGGTGCAGCTCTCCACAATGTCGTTACCTCGTCTGTATTGCAGACACTGTTGCCGTGGTTACCTCTTCTGCGTTGTGGAGACGTTGCCGCATTGTCTCCATAGCTACCTCTAGTGTCCTCAACGGACCAATCAGGATCAAGGAACACTGTTCCATCTCGGACCTCGGCACAGGAACACGCATGACGATACAGTCATCAGATTCCTTGTGTGAATTACCTCTTACCTTGTCCTAGCTGTAGGAGGGATGACATTGGGGTGGGGGAGGGATAGATGTTGGGAACAGGGGACAAGGGATGGGCAAGGGGGGACAGTTGGTAAGTTTTAGAAACATTTTAACAGTCTAGATTCATAAACTATTGCATTTGAATGTCCTGCAAATCGGTGCGGATCCAAATGAAATCACTGTGGATTCACTTGGCAAAGGGGACAACTCATTTGCTAATTACTTTGTTCCATGAACCAGATTTGTTGGCAGGATATTGTATATGCAGCATCTGGTTGGGCTGTTATACAGGGTGTGCTGTGCCAGGAAGCGGGGAATATCGGACAGATATGTTATTATATGTGGATATTACATGTGTGTGATACGAGGCGTATCACCAAGTTGAACAGACACCCAGTCACAGCTTGTGTAGGATGAAAACTAGATGGTACCACTCATATCTGTCCTTTCTTGTTTCATTATCATCCATATTTCTGCTTTTGAAGGCTCATTTACATATAGATATATAGATATATATATATACATCTATATATTATATACATAACCCTCATCTTTAAGAATAGTGCATACCAGTGAAACCTAACATGTATTCAAGTTTGACTGTTTTTTTCAAAAGCAACTATTTCCGTTTTTTGTTGTTTTCTGCAAATGAATGCTAGGTTTTACAAAGTGAATGACTGCTGATCTACATTATCTGCAGCTTAGTCAACATTGTCAACATTGTAAACGGGTCTATTAGCAAGTAGGGTTGATAACTCTGGCATTACTGGGCGATATACATATATACTACATACTTTCTGTCTGAAGAGTACAGTGTACAACTACTTTGATATAATGTCTCATTTACTGATATATGTAACCTGAGCAATCTGCTGACCACTGAAATGACCACATAGATGCTTTTAATGAGAGAGTAGAAGTTGCCTTTTTTCAAAATGTTTACAAACATGCTGCAATCATCGCACTTGTTCATATATAAAACAGTGTATGAAATTTCTGTAACACCAACCAACAACAAACCACTTTATTTCTTTACTGACCCCAATGTAAGGCGTTATTTAGGGCCAGTTCTTGAGGCCTAACGGTGCAGAGTTCTACAGACTTCCAGGATAGATCTACAGGAGGTCACTGGACAGGCTGACCACTGTTGACGGGGTGGAACACGGTGGGATGCTCTCATAGGAGGGTCTGGAGGCGGGGTGGAACACGGTGGGGTGCTCTCATAGGAGGGTCTGGAGGTGGGGTGGAACACGGTGGGGTGCTCTCATAGGAGGGTCTGGAGGTGGGGTGGAACACGGTGGGGTGCTCTCATAGGAGGGTCTGGAGGCGGGGTGGAACACGGTGGGGTGCTCTCATAGGAGGGTCTGGAGGTGGGGTGGAACACGGTGGGGTGCTCTCATAGGAGGGTCTGGAGGCGGGGTGGAACACGGTGGGGTGCTCTCATAGGAGGGTCTGGAAGCTGATTGTTTAGGGAGGAGGATAAGAGAATAATAGTTTGGATAGAGACAGGACTAGGTGGTTAATTGTTGATGGAGGGAGGACAGGGTGGTATATTGTTTAAATTGAGGGAGGACGGGGTGGTATATTGTTTAAATTGAGGGAGGACAGGATGGTTAATTGTTGATGGAAGGATGATGGGATGGTATATTGTTTAAATTGAGGGAGGACAGGGTGGTATATTGTTTAAATTGAGGGAGGAGGGGATGGTATATTGTTTACATTGAGGGAGGACAGGGTGGTATATTGTTTAAATTGAGGGAGGACTGAGTGGTATATTGTTTAAATTGAGGGAGGACAGGATGGTATATTGTTTAAATTGAGGAGGAGGATGGGATGGTATATTGTATAAATTGAGGGAGGACAGGATGGTATATTGTTTAAATTGAGGGAGGACAGGATGGTATATTGTTTAAATTGAGGGAGGACAGGATGGTTAATTGTTGATGGAGGGAGGATGGGGTGGTATATTGTTTAAATTGAGGGAGGACGGGATGGTATATTGTTTAAATTGAGGGAGGACAGGGTGGTATATTGTTTAAATTGAGGGAGGACAGGGTGGTATATTGTTTAAACTGAAGGAGGACAGGGTGGTATATTGTTTAAATTGAGGGAGGACAGGGAGGTATATTGTTTAAATTGAGGGAGGACAGGGTGGTATATTGTTTAAATTGAGGGAGGACAGGGTGGTATATTGTTTAAATTGAGGGAGGACAGGGAGGTATATTGTTTAAATTGAGGGAGGACGGGATGGTTAATTGTTGATTGAGGGAGGACGAAGCGGATAATTGTTGATGGAGGACAAGGTGGTTAATTGTGTGGCTGGTGAAGATGAGGGGTTAATATTAAAGCTAAATTGGGATATAAGTAGTAGGATAGTAGGACTGGAAATTAAGATCTCGAGGATAGAGATGGTGATGTCTCTATGACTTTAATAGCACTAAAATATTTTACTCCATACTGCTGAAAACGAAATGAGTCGACTTTGGTCATACTGATTTGGGACGCTTATAAACGTCTGTGTCAGCCTGTCTGTGCCTCCAAGGAGTAGGTCGATCTGGGGACTTTGGAACTTGGAGCAGCTACAATCGGTGTCGCACGTACAAAACACTCTCCTCTCACCATCTTCTGTTGGCAGACTCTGGTTGTAATGTTTCTGGGTGGGGTGTTGATGGAACTGAGGTACTCTGGGGTCTTTAGGGTTGGTGGGGTGTTGATGGAACTGAGGTACTCTGGGTCTTTAGGGGTGGTGGGGTGGGGTGTTGATGGAACTGAGGTACTCTGGGGTCTTTAAGGGTGGTGGGGTGGGGTGTTGATGGAACTGAGGTACTCTGGGTCTTTAGGGGTGGTGGGGTGGGGTGTTGATGGAACTGAGGTACTCTGGGTCTTTAGGGGTGGTGGGGTGGGGTGTTGATGGAACTGTGGTACTCTGGGTCTTTAGGGTTGGTGGGGTGTTGATGGAACTGAGGTACTCTGAGTCTTTAGGGGTGGTGGGGTGGGCTGTTGATGGAAGTGAGGCACTCTGGGGACGGTATCTTTCGCATGGGGTTTGTATTAGATAGTGTTGTTTCTTACTGACAGAGATTTCACAGACATTTTGGACAGAATTAGGTGATCATAAATCCGTAGTTTGGACTAAAGAGCACATATATTATTACATAATGGATATGGGGTCTTTGGGGATATTGTGTGGTTAGGACACCTATGCCCCCCTAAGGAAGGTGGGTGTAGGTGGTATCCAATCAGGTGTATGGGCACATCTAATGAAATCCCCTAGGAAGGTGGGAGTGTAGGTGGTATCCAATCAGGTGTGTGTGGGTAGGACATCTAATGACCCCCTAGGGGAAGGTGGGTGTAGGAGGTATCCAATCAGGTGTGGTGACACATGCCCCCCCAAGTAGGACCTAATGGCCCCTAGGAAGGTGGGTGGGTGTAGGAGGTATCCAATCAGGTGTGTGTGGGTAGGACATCTAATGCCCTAGAAGAAGGGAAGGTGGGTGTAGGTGGTATCCAATCAGGTGTGTGGTAGGACATCTAATGCCCCTAGAGAAGGTGGGTGTAGGTGGTATCCAATCAGGTGTGTGGGTAGGACATCACCTCCTAGGAGGTGGGTGTAGGGTGGTATCCAATCAGGGTAGGGAAGGTGGTAGGACATCCTAATGACCCCCCTAGGGAAGGTGGGTGTAGGAGGTATCCAATCAGGTGTGTGGGTAGGACATCTAATGCCCCCTAGGGAAGGTGGGTGTAGGAGGTATCCAATCAGGTGTGTGTGGGTAGGACACCTAATGCCCCCCTAGGGAAGGTGGGTGTAGGAGGTATCCAATCAGGTGTGTGTGGGTAGGACATCTAATGCCCCCTAGGGAAGGTGGGTGTAGGTGGTATCCAATCAGGTGTGTGTGGGTAGGACACCTAATGCCCCCCTAGGGAAGGTGGGTGTAGGTGGTATCCAATCAGGGTGTGTGGGTAGGACACCTAATGCCCCCCTAGGGAAGGTGGGTGTAGGTGGTATCCAATCAGGTGTGTGTGGGTAGGACATCTAATGCCCCCTAGGGAAGGTGGGTGTAGGTGGTATCAATCAGGTGTGTGGGTAGGACATCTAATGCCCCCTAGGAAGGTGGGTGTAGGTGGTATCCAATCAGGTGTGTGTGGGTAGGACACCTAATGCCCCCCTAGGGAAGGTGGGTGTAGGAGGTATCCAATCAGGTGTGTGTGGGTAGGACACCTAATGCCCCCCTAGGGAAGGTGGGTGTAGGTGGTATCCAATCAGGTGTGTGTGGGTAGGACATCTAATGCCCCCTAGGGAAGGGTGGGTGTAGGTGGTATCAATCAGGTGTGTGTGGGTAGGACACCTAATGCCCCCTAGGGAAGGTGGGTGTAGGTGGTATCCAATCAGGTGTGTGGGTAGGACACCTAATGCCCCCCTAGGGAAGGTGGGTGTAGGAGGTATCCAATCAGGTGTGTGGGTGGGTAGGACACCTAATGCCCCCTAGGAAGGTGGGTGTAGGTGGTATCCAATCAGGTGTGTGTGGGTAGGACACCTAATGCCCCCTAGGGAAGGTGGGTGTAGGAGGTATCCAATCAGGTGTGTGGGTAGGACACCTAATGCCCCCTAGGAAGGTGGGTGTAGGAGGTATCCAATCAGGTGTGTGGGTTGGACATCTAATGCCCCCTAGGGAAGGTGGGTGTAGGAGGTATCCAATCAGGTGTGTGTGGGTAGGACACCTAATGCCCCCTAGGGAAGGTGGGTGTAGGTGGGAGGTATCCAATCAGGTGTGTGTGGTATCAATCAGGACACCTAATGCCCCCTAGGGAAGGTGGGTGTAGGAGGTATCCAATCAGGTGTGTGTGTGGGTGGGACACCTAATGCCCCTAGGGAAGGTGGGTGTAGGAGGTATCCAATCAGGTGTGTGGGTGGGACACCTAATCCCCCTAGGGAGGTGGGTGTAGGAGGTATCCAATCAGGTGTGTATGGGTTGGACACCTAATGCCCCCTAGAGAAGGGTGGTGTAGGTGGTATCCAATCAGGTGTGTGGGGTAGGGACATCTAATGCCCCCCTAGGGAAGGCGTGGGTGCAGGGAGGTATCCAATCCGGTTTGTGGGGGTAGGACACCTAATGCCCCCTAGGGAAGGTGGGTGTAGGAGGTATCCAATCAGGTGTGTGGGTAGGACACCTAATGCCCCCCTAGGGAAGGTGGGTGTAGGAGGTATCCAATCAGGTGTGTGGGTGGGTGTAGGAGGTATCCAATCAGGTGTGTGGGGTAGGACACCTTATGCCCCCTAGGGAAGGTGGGTGTAGGAGGTATCCAATCAGGTGTGTGGGTAGGACACCTTATGCCCCCTAGGGGTGGGTGTAGGAGGTATCTAATCAGGTGTGTGTGGGTAGGACACCTTATGCCCCTAGGGAAGGTGGGTGTAGGTGGTATCCAATCAGGTGTGTGGGAAGAAGATGGTGAGAGACACATAGCATTACACATTGTACCTCCAGTTAATCTACCTCAGTCGTCCTATACAGCCTTCATCCCACCACTCCAGGAGCATCAGCAGCAACAGCAGCAACAACACCCGTTGTACAACAATGTGGACAGTAACCTTTTTTAAATCTAACTCCAGTCCCACATTGTCACACACTTGTGTTCTACTTTGTATCAGTTATTGTGCAACTTTGTTGATTCGCAGACAACTGTGTACAATGTGTTAAATATGATCATATGGCAACTAGGATTCTAAGGATGCACACTTTCAATTTTAACAGTGTATAACAATGTTTAACCCAAAGCAGCTCTCAGTTGTTAGTTTACCAGGACACAGACACAGCGTTGTACACTCTGTTAGCCACAGATCTGGTTGTACTGAGTTTGTGCATGTTTCTAATATTCAGTTTCAAAGGCTGATCTTTGACCTAAGTAAACCTCATTTGACTTTTATGGTGACCTTTAACTTTTGGTGACCTTGAGCTGTTCTATACGTGTGCTTTTTACGCTGTATCCATGTGGTTCACAGACATAGGATGTATCTCACAACAATGACAGTTTGAATGTGTTGAATCATTTAATTAGTCTGTCCTTGTTAGTATGGTTGTGTTATACCAGTGTGGTAAGTCTGTGTCGTTACCATAGTTACCATGTTACAGAGTTGTAGTTACCATGGGTTCCTTTTGTAGCCAGCTGTGTGCACTGTTAGATAATCAAGGGGGATAATCAAGGGGGATAATCCTGGGTGTAGATGCTTTGTAACTCTCGGCCGTATCTGCTCCAGTCACGATCCGCTTTGGTCGCTACAGTGGTATCAATGCTTTCTGGTCTCCCCAGGTCAGGTCGACCTGTGGCGTTATGAGAGATAGCCTGTAGAGGTCAGCCTGTGGTACTATAAGAGATAGTATGCAGAGGTTGACCTGTGGTGCTTGAAGAAATGGCCTGCAGAAGTCGACCTGTGGTGCTTGAAGAAATTGCCTGCAGAGGTCGACCTGTGGTGCTTGAAGAAATGGCCTGCAGAGGTCGACCTGTGGTGCTTGAAGAAATGGCCTGCAGAGGTCGACCTGTGGTGCTATGAGAGATAGCATGCAGAGGTCGATCAGTGGTGCTTGAGGAAATGGCCTGCAGAGGTCGACCTGTGGTGCTATGAGAGATATCATGCAGAGGTCAAACTTTGGTGCTCACAGATAGATTGAAATGTTGACCTTGGTGCTGGCACACATAAGGTGCAAAGGTCGACCTTGGGTGCTGAGATACATTAAATGCATAGGTCGACCTTGGGTGCTGACACACATTTAATGCAAAAGTTACCCATTTCTGCTGACATACATTAAATGCAGACTGTAAATGCATAGGTCGACCTCCTGTTCTGTCAGAGATTGAATGTTAAGATCACTCCTGCTGCTGACAGTGATGTCTGTTCAGAGTTCACAGAACCTGTGGTACAACCGTCGCACCAGTCCTTTTATTCTCTGGGAAAACAGTTGCTGTAGAGCAGTTGAACATTTTGACCATTCCGCAAGAAGCGATTGTATGGATATTAAACTGGGGAGATCAGTCAGTGCAGTGGAAGGCTTAATCTAGAACATATAGTTAGAACATGATTAAGGAACGTTCATAATTTATGGCTAGGGAGTGATGATGATTTTATGGAGGAGCATGTAAAATTTGAATGACCCCCCCCCCAAATTTTGTAAAAATTAAGCATGTCATGTACAAAATCAATGACACCCCCTCCCCCTTCCCATAATTTCTAAGGATATTTTTGTAATATTTTTATGTACAAAATTGCTGTTGCCCCCCATAACCCCCAGTACATTTGTACAAAAAGTAATGACCCCCTACCTCAACAGAACCCAAGAACAAAATGGGTGACCCCCATCCCCCCTAAAATCATCATCACCCCCACTAGCCATAAATTATGAGCGGGCCCCTATGGGACTTAATGAAGGGATATGTATGTACTTGGTAAATCTTTGTTGGATGTGGGTCTAGATTAAGCCTGTCTATCATTATTGCTTGTAATGCTTATAGCTTATAGCTGCGCATCTGCTTGTCCGTCCGTTGTGTACCGTCAGCATCGATGAAAGTTTTGGTACTTATCTCCCCTTGATGGAGACAGATCACTGTAGGTGGTGTGAACTACAAACCTTAGAAACAACTTGCTTTGTTAGATTAATTTAACCTATATAGTATTTACATTCACTTCAAGCAAGAGACCAAGGTGGGCAGTTCAGACATCTGTTAGCCGAGGCTTGCACTGTGGATTCTGCTGAAGGTGTTAAATCAAAGCAAGACTTGAACCAACAGATATTGAACACCATCTGGCCATAGCCTTGCTCAGTAAATGTATTGTTCTGGTTACCATGACAACCATATATATAAGGTACATGCTGGTTACTATGACAGTCATAACCTTTATGAGTGGAGGCAGTGTTGGCTCAAAAAGACTGCTTCTTCTCAGCTCTGGTGTAAGGAAGGTGTCGGAGCCTCTGGTACCATCTGGAGGTCGTTCATGCATGTCGGTCATTGGTACCATCTGAGGTCGTTCATGCATGTCGGTCATTGGTACCATCTGGAGGTTGTTCATGCGTGTTGGTCATTGGTACCATCTGGAGGTCGTTCATGCATGTCGGTCAATGGTATCATCTGGAGGTTGTTCATGCATGTCAGTCAATGGTACCATCTGAGGTTGTTCATGCATGTCCGTCAATGGTACCATCTGGAGGTTGTTCAAGCATGTCAGTCAATGGTACCATCTGGAGGTTGTTCATGCATGTCCGTCAATGGTACCATCTGGAGGTCGTTCATGCATGTCCGTCAATGGTACCATCTGGAGGTTGTTCATGCGTGTTGGTCACTGTTCTTAGTTATCGAAAGCTTTAAAATGAAACGGAATTTCAACAGTGACCTGAAGGCGGCCAAGCCAGGAAATGGTCTGTAATGTATTGCTTGGTCTCTAAGCAGAAGATAGGAAGTGGCTTTTGAATGGCTTGAATCAAAATTGCAAGGGCTGCCACATAGCCACATGTCCTCTATAAGAAAGAGTCACAGTATAAATTTACATGTCCGGGGGGGGTAGGGTAGCCTAGTGGTTAAAGCGTTCGCCCGTCACGCTGAAAACCCTGGTTCGATTCCCCACATGGGTACAATGTGTGAAGCCGATTTCTGCCGCCCCCACCGTGGTATTGCTGGAATATTGCTAAAAGCGGCGTAAAACTAAATTCACTCACTCACCCATATGTCCAAATTTGTTCAAGCCTTATTGATCGTGTCTTCCTGGGTGTAAACAATGTTAAACAAATAATCTCCTCAAACATTAGGATTCCAAATAAGAAGAAGAAGTAGTTTCTTGTGAATTTCTTTTTCATCTTAGTGTTTTTAAATATGTGTTAGTAGTTAGGTCATATCTTGATGTCATGCAATTGTATTAACAATCCCCATGAAAAACAACTATTCTTAAACAAACTGGGCAGTGATAACTTTTTTAAGGGGATCTAAAGGGGAGGCAGGCAGCTTATGCCAAAACTTTCAATGAAAACCACCAAACATACAAATTAGAATTTTTTCACTTACACTGTTGGCATTAAATGCCAGTTGACTGCAGTCAGTATCTCACAAACTGACTCGTGGGGAATATTGGAATATATGTTTGGCTTCAGGCGAGCCGTTCATGTGATACATTAAGAACAACCCGGTGTTTGTGACCTTGACCATGAAATCTTTGAAGGGGAAGGTCACGGATTAAGTTGAGGGACTGTATGGGCCCCATGTTTGTTGAAAGAAATGCTTACCATGTTTCTGGATTGACCACTTTGATTCTGTGGTGTTTGGCCGTCGACCTCTATCTAACCTGGGGGTTATTAGAAAAAAACGGATACTCTGGAAATATGGTATGCATCGATGCAAGTCGGATCGACTTTAAATTCACCACGTTATTTTATTTTTATTTGCATTAAATGCATTTTAGCGCTCAGTTAGTTAAAGGACGACAATGTCATTAAATATAGTAGTAAAAATGTTGCTTAGCAACTGGAAATATATGAATAGGCTGTTGCGAAGACATCTCAGCTGATGCCAGCGTTCCTCAGGTGAATGTCATGGCAACAGAAGCAGCTGACCAGTTTGGACAACGAATCACTGAGGAGCAGTGGGATACTGAGAGAGATGATTGGCTGTCTTTGTTGTCATGGACACTTGGAACCTGGCACTGGCTGGCTGAACATTACCATGGAGACGGTCGCTTGTTATGTGCAACAATGTACAAGTATGTATGTAAATATGACCCTATCCTCATCACACATAGTATTGTCTGCAGCAGTAGGGACAAGGTTGCTTAGCAACGCATCATGCAATTCAGTGGGTGGCTGCTTAACGATGAGGCTACACCTGCGCTACTAGCAGCAAGGAATGGATGAGTCAGCGCTTCTTCCACAAGGCATCGTCTACTCCATTACATTTTAACAATTCACTAGTCGATTGCTTTGGGGAACAAGCACTTTTTTCCAATGTGGCAAGTAACATCTTAATGCTGGTCAGACAAGTGCTTGACCATCATCTTTGGAAGGTGTCCCCTGGCTCCTCAGATCCATGCTGCTAGCCTTGACATGCTTGGCCTGCTTATTGGTCAGTGTTGACGCCATCACTTGTACTCACGCTTCTCTCCCACCGGGCAGGGCGGGTTCTTTAGGGTTTTCTTCTAGTGATACTTTCTTGCTTCAGACAAGATCTGCCACTCTATTTCCTGGTCTCCAGCAATCATTATTAATCCTTCAACAAGTTGCACTTCACAAGTGTTCTTCATAATTAATTGTGCAGTTGACTTGGGATCTAGGTGCCCAAACTATTTGGGATGTAACTGAATGCTTATTTCCAAATATCCACACATGACAGATGTTGGTTTGAATGATGACTACTATACGTTCAGCAATATGCTCCTGTCAATGTTCTACTTAATAAGACTCGGGATGGTGGGATAGCCTTGTGGTTAAAGCGTTTGTTATTCACGCTGAAGACCCGGGTTCGATCCCCCACATGGGTACAATGTGTGAAGCCCATTTGTGTTGTTCCCCGCCATGATACTGCTGGAATATTGCTAAAAGCGGCGTAAAACCACACTCACTCATTGAAAGATTCCAAAATCAGAACAAAATGGTTGTAGAACAATCTGGGCAACTTGTGTCAGAACAGATGTGGATAAAATATGTCTGAACCATATTGAATACGAGGACATCACCACTCTCATGTAATCTGGAGGTTCTCAACCTGTAATTCTTCTCTCCAGAGAGGGTGATGGCTGCAAAACCACAGTTGTCTCCCTTGAGAACCTCTCCCTGACTGGTGAACTCATGAGATAACCTGTTTACAAGTGATGGCAGTTTACCTGGCATACTCTGTATGTTACGTGTCTAAGGTGAATGTGTGGCTTTTCTTTAAACTTTAGATGAATAAAAATTATATTTAATTGTGACAACATATTCTGTGTTATTTGTAACCATTTCTTCGAGAATTCTAGTGTCTAAAGTTCTTTACTGTACTTGTATGAAACATTCACAGCATGGGATTTATGTTATAGGCAAGAGTTATGCCCCCTGCCTAATTTACAATACTATGTGCCATAGGGGCATTTGTTAAAACATTGTTCGTGCTTTTGCTAGTCTGTCATACAGACCCTGAAGCAAATATATCCAAGAAGCCCACGCAAGTCTAGAAAATGTGGCAAGTCTAGATTTCCACAGCTTCTGAAAATGAAGGAAGACTCAGGGCTCCTTTTCATTATATTTTATTTGGTTTTACTATGAACTTCTTTCAGTAAAATATGTTCATTACAGAGACTAGTTGTTAGTCTATGCTTCTTTGACGTAACATGGAATATCTCAGTGGTGCAATCTTATCACACTCAAGACTTATGTCCGGGGATGGCGGGGTAGCCCAGCGGTTAAAGCGCTCGCTGGTGATATTGCTTGAATAAATCCCAACTCACTAAGAATTATGCCCAGCATATACTCAATAGTCCCAAGTAACCATGCAACCGTGCATCGCACAATAGTGTCTCAAAGGTCACGTGCGATGGGGAAGCCTAGTGGTTTAAGCTTTCGCTCGTCACGCCGTAGACCCGAGATCGATTCCAAACATAGGTGGAGAGCGGAAGGTCGCGGGTTCGATCCCCGACCGAGTCATACCAAAAGACGTTAATTGTTGGTCCCTGCCTGGCGCTCGGCATTAATGGGTACAAGAAGAACTGGTCGGCTCGGAGTCAGTATAATGTGTCTGAGTGGGGTATTCATGCTTCACTGCGGCATGGTATCTCAGTGGGCTAGCACTGAAAAACCAGCTTAAGTCTGGGCTAGTACAAGCAGCTGCACATATACACACACACACGCATGCACGTCGTCAGATGAGCGAAATATTCTCAAGCACGACGTTAAATCCAATTTCACCTTACCTCACCAAACAGGTACAATGTGTGAAATCCATTTCTGGTGTCCCCCGCCGTGGTATTGCTGGAATATTGCTGAAAGCGGCGTAAACCTAAAAAAACTCACTCACCGTTCGTTAGAGCAGCTGACGCGAGTTCTCTGACGTCACCTCGATGCGGCCTCCACAAAGTCTACTTCAGTAACTATTGTCCTCTTGGTGTAATTTGTACTCACGGTATGTAACAGGCTTCTGTTGAAAAT